GACTGCCATAAAGATCACTTAGAAACTTTATGTTGCTGCATCGCATCTTCCCAACACCAAACATGCCAAGTTTTCTTAGCATTTTGTTAGTAATGTTGTTATTGTTTTATAATATATATATATAAATAATGTATATATATATAATATATATATATAAATTATATATATATATAATATATATATATATATATATATATATATATATAAAGAAGATATTTATATTCCCCCAGTGGAATTTTATAATACTTTTGGAAACAGTTTCCTAGGGGAGAAAATAACAGAAAGAAGAAAGAATAAACAGAAAACAAAACACAGATGAGAAAAGAATATGGTGACATGATGACAAAGCTTTTAATTTATTATTCATGTATGTTTTGGAGAATAAAAAAGGAAAGTGAAGGCATTACATGGTGTTTAGTTGTGGACATGTATTTGTAAAACATTTTTAACGTGAGACAGCTGTGACAATAAGGGCAGATATTTATTTTTGGTATTAGAGAAGGGACAGGTAGGATCCAGAAGGAGGAGCTTGGGTAGAAGCAGCTCTCACAGAACAGGATGGCTGTGTGCTCAGCCTTGGTACCACTCAAGGGAAGTCCTGATTGTCCATCCCCATGCTTTCTGGTTCAGACATGGCTCTAGGCTAGAGGGGCTTTAACAAATGGCCACTCTTCCTTAAAGGACCATTAGATGGACTCTTGAGGTGACTATATTCTGTAATAGACACATGGAATTCTTAGGTTAACCCAAACCCAGAACTTCCAGATTGCTAACTGGACTCTTAGTAACCATACCGACTGCAAAATAACCTAAGGATCTGTGGTTTGAAAAATGACTGGTACCTGGCTCAAGGTATATATCTACTGATCATCATATAAATAGCTGCACTTTTTCGGCCTCTCCTCTCCCCTCTCCAGCTGCCACATGACTGCCTCATCCCAGACGAGCCTGATTATCATCGGCGAAAAACATTCCAGCATAAACATGATTACAAAATTCATTATAAGCAGTGATTGAATGTGAACATATCTAAAACAGTTTAATTCACATTGAGTTGCATAAAACAGCTGAAAATAAAATGAATTTGTGTTTTAAGAACATTTCAAGAGTGGATCATCACATCCATAGCCTACATGTCGTCTTGAGTACAACAGTAATTTCAGTCAGCCCCTGGGATGCTGGACCCATATGCCAATGATCCAAATATGTGCATCTCTTCAGTGACTTCACTTTGGTAGTCAAGTGGACTCTGGTGGGACTACCTATACCATGGAAATTGTCCAGGGCTTTGTCTTAGTTCAATCCATTCAGGTTGTTCTTTTAAAAAACACCACAGACTTGGTGCTTTTAAACACAGAAATTAATTTCTCTCAGTTCCATAGCTTGGGCATCTGAGATTAGGGGGCCAGCATGGTTGTGTGAGGGCCCTCTTCCAGACTGCAGACTTCTTCTATCCTCACATGGCAGAAGGGCTAGGGAGCTCTGTGAAATCTCTTTTATAAGATCATCATTCCCCTTCATGAGGGCCCCACCTTCTAACACCATCACATGGGTGTTAGGATTCTAATACATGAATTTAGGGGGTGGGGGCAGAACAAACATTCAAACCATAGCATGCTACAAATCATGGCTTTGTTTTTTCTTTGGCAGAAAGAAAAGCCAGTTTAGCAGCACACTGTTGAGTTACTTGCACAATTTGAAAGAAGAAACCCAATATAAATGTATGTCTATAATTAAGAACACTGCTTGCTAGGTGTATATTTAAAAAACCACTGCTTGAGAAAGACAGTATTTTGTTACACTGCTAAGGCTCATATCTCTTATTATGTCAGTTAACCTCCCTATCTCTTTTAGTCCCTCTCTCCTTAAAATAAGAATATAATAATACCTACGTCATAGGATTGTTCTGATGATTAAATGAGTTAATCTATGTGATGCATTTTTAAAGTACCTGGCACAGGGAATGTAGGTGCTCAATAAGTATTTTCTATTACCATCAGCAGGAGATGAAACTATATGATATTTTATAGTCTTCTCTGAAAAGACTGCCTATTTTCAGTGTTATTTTCCTTGTTGAGCTTTTACATGTTTTAGAAGCCCATACCTAACTTCCGTAAGTTCTGTGAAGATCCGTTAAATGAAAGCATATCAAATCACTTTGAAATGCATAAAGTACTATGTAAATGAAAGGTGGAATAATTATGTTAAAGCCATCATCTTGAATTTTGTTTATACTGCATCTTTGAAATGAGCATCAGATTTTTCTCTAGGCAGTTACTGCTCCTACAGAAACAAACACAGATGGTGCCCAAACCTCCTACTGAATAGTTCTAGGCAATGGCATTTATCAAAATACCGCAGGTCACTAAATGTGCAAAGACTCAAAACAAACCCCACATCTCAGTGTCAGGCCAGCATGGTAATTTAGGCAAATAAGCCTTTGTTTGATAATTCAGGGATTTTCTGATTTGTAGAATGTACTAGCACAACAAACAGAAAATCTTCAATGTGGGCTAAGTTTTACAAAATAGGACATTAAAATGCAATTTCTTTTAGAGGAAAAAAAATCAGCGTTCTTTACTGATGAGTGTTTTTGCCAAATTAGAACTAAGTTTAGGGGTGTGCATGCAGATGTTCTGATGTTATGCTGACCTTCTATCCACGAAAAGCAGAGAAAGAGGAAACATGTTTTAAACATTTTTTTTTTCTTATACTCAAAACTTCTAAGAACCCATTCTTTGGAGTGAAGGCTTCCTTTTGTCAGCAAGATAGTCCCATGATTTCTAGAACTTAACTCTCTTGATGGCGTCTTGAGTGGTTTTGAGAGAGCCCTCTCTCTGGCTCACTAGGGGGCAGGAAATTCTGACCCCTGAGGCTTCCCTTCCCAGAGGGCAGTCTCAGGGGAACTGTAGCTGGCTTCTGCCAGTGAGACTTGAGGATGGGGACACTGGGAGGACATAGGAGATGGGGAAGAAGGGAGCAGTCAGGGCCCTTCTCTCGACATCGTTTGTCTCCTGCACCTTCTCAGGCAGCAGCTGTGTCTCTAACATGCCTGCCTCCCAACAACGAAGCCTGCCACGGTTCCAGTTCTTACCTGGGTAACCCATGCCTCCTGCCTTACAGCAGCCTGTTCTTAACCTGTGTCCCTGAAGCTGGGGTTGGTTACAGCTCATTCCTGTTGCCTCACTTTTCTCTGGTTGGCTTCTTCTGTCTCTCTTTTTTTTTAATTCATCTGTAATGCTCTGTTATTTTTTTTTCAATATATGAAATTTATTGTCAAAATGGTTTCCATACAACACCCAGTGCTCATCCCAAAAGGTGCCCTCCTCAATGCCCATCACCCACCCTCCCCTCCCTCCCTTCTTCTGTCTCTTTTATCACCTGCTTCATGTTTTAATCAGTTCCCTACATTTGAATCCTTCATTTAATGAATATCACAGGTAGATCCCATTTTCCTTGACTGGACCCCGACTGACCCAAGATCTAACAAAGGCAACCTGGTCAACTGAATTCTTAGGCAAATAACACTGTGGGAAGTACAGTTCCTCTGTACTCATCATGAAGATCTCAGAGGTCCTTCTTGAGCATGAACTCTTGCAATCACTGCTCCCTTTGCAGCTCTTCCCCTTAGTTACATGATAAATCTTACCTGGAGCCTGCTCTATGCTGCTGTATCCCTGAGACGGAGGCAGAGAAAAAGTACGTTTCCTTGTGTCTTTTAACCTCAGTGTCACAAGACTCTCAGCCATTACACTTGTCAGCCTAGTCTGACCCCTTTTTCTGGCCACACCTTGCAAGTTCACCTATCGGTTGTGATTCTCACAAATGTTAATACCTTTCAAAGAAAGTCGAAAAGGATGCCAGAATCCGCAGATTATTTCCACATATAAGAACAACAAGACTGGAGGGGTATCTGGGTGGCTCAGTCAGTTGAGCATCTGACCTTGGCTCAGGTCATGATCTCGGGGTTCTTGAGTTTCAGCCCTGCATCGTCTCGCTGCTGTCAGCACAGAGCCTGCTTCAGATCCTCTGTCCCCCTCTCCCTCTGCCCCTCCCCTGCTTGCACTCGCCCAATAATAAAAAAAGTAAATAAATATTTGAAAAAGAATGACAAGATTGGAATAGGATCTATCAGCTGTTGTTATTCTAAAATTCTGCCCCTCTTCTTTCTTTCCATGAAAGGAAGTTTGGGTCACAAAACAACTCTGTATCTTAAAATGGTTTTAAGGAGTTTAAATTAGTTCTATGAATATCATCTCAATCCAAAAGTATCAAACTAGGGTTGTACATCCCGTGCATTTGCTAAAATTAGTTTGGACTTGAACATTGAAACATACCTTAATGCTGAGTTTCTAAAAATAATATTTTATAAAGGCTTTTCATGTTTTTCCTACACTTCATCCTACTGCATCGTCACACTTCTCCCCCATCCTGCAAGGACCCTCCTTCCTCCTATTTTCTTGTGCTATCAATTCTCAAATAACCATCTTTCTAGGAGTGTTCTCTAAACTTTCCTACACATCATCAGGGTGACGCTGGTTGTCCCTTGTTCGGGTCCCCAGACTGCACTGTATGATATATATATGCCTGTGTCTCTCTGTCTTGGGTTAGCCTATAAGCTCCAAAATGAAAGAACTGTGTTTCCTCTTTGTAGTCCTGCTGCTCCATAACTTCCTTGGCACTCAGGGATTATTCAAAAATAGATCTGTTGAACTGTTGCTGAAAGTTCCAAGGCCTCTCACGCGGGACAAAAATTAATTTTAGAATCATGGGATGAAACGTTTGTTTCGTTTTTGTACTAGGAATATTTTACTAACAAACATAGAAGAGACACTGATTATTCCACAAATTGCCTGGTGTTTGTGCCCCACATATGGAAGTGCTGTGTTTTATCGATAAGCAACATTGATAAATAGGGAAACAGGCACACAGGTACTATAACAAGTTTGGAACGGAGCTTCTCAAATCTTTGCCTTGTTTACAGTCTCCTTCAGTAGAAGTTGCATCCTCTGTGTTTGGCTTCCTAAATTTAAGCCCTAATTTTCAGTGTCCATCTAACTATATTCCCACTGCCTCCACCATCAATAAAATAAATGCCATGCCTCTAACTCATTTCCTTTGAAAAGGATGAGCTCAGCCATGCTCTGTTTCTTCCATTTATAATGGCTCTCTTTGCACATTTTGGTCCATTGCCTCTGGTGCCATTCCTCATGCATCTGTTTATTCTACCCAATTAGACTCAGATCTTTGTGGTCAGAGGTACTTTTCTTTTATATGTCCTCACAGCATGTTCACAACATAGGCTTATGAACTAAATGTCTTCTCGATTTCACCAGTATCTGTGCTAGTATTTTTAGTTCCTTGTCAAATGAACATGTCGGTGTGTTACAGCCATGGGCATTTGGTCAACCACACAGAACACAGCTCTGAGCTGTTCCATTATTCCAGGTCTGTGGACTAGGCTGGGCAGCAGGGGGACAAGACCCCCTTTGCCACTTTTCTTTAAAGCCTTATATCCCTAAGCTACTTCCCCCCTAAGGACTCACCATGCCCTTCTAGTAGTTCCCACAATCCATAACTGGTTCTCTGTCAAGGAACCTGTTCATTTCTTTCATAGCACTTAGGATAATTTGTATCTAGCTATATATACATATATAGAGATACATACATAAGTATATATACATATGTACATATATATGTATATGTTTATAAAGTATATGTAGAATAAGCACATAAAGTAAACAAGTTAGATTTATATAAATGTGTAAAATATAGATGTAAGTATAAGCATGTATATGTGTAAGTAATATACACCAAAAAAAAAAAAAAACCATTTGTGTTGGTGTATACATGTGTGTGTTATGTTTTCATTTTTCTCTTTCCCTCTACAGGTTTTCTTCACCATGACTTGCTTCACCACTTAACACCCAAGCCTAACACAGAGCCTGGCACATAGTACATACTCAGAAATATTTGTTGAATAAATAACATGTGAATGAATGAAGCTATGAGAGCAAAGAATTCTTTCCAACTCTCATCACATCAGATCTTACATTGTACTGGCCAAAAAGTGAAAGGAGGAAAGAAATGGAAGCATAGAAAAGGAGTCAATGTTCTTCTCTCTACTGTAAAATTTCACAGACTTGCAATAATGTCTCCTCCAAGAAAGAGCCTCCCAGACTTCTCAGTTTGTTTTTATCTGGAAAGAAGAAAGAGGAAGACAAGAAAGTCTTTACTGCTCACTGTTGGTGCTTCCCACTAATAAAAACAAATATTTCAGCAAAAAGTGAACAGTTTCCAAATAGCGTAACAAAAACAAATTGGACATTCCTACATTTACCACGGCAGCCTTCTGTTTCCTCTCTGTGAGCACAGTCCTGATATCTTAAGGATATATCGATACTATGTGCACCCCATTCCCCTACCTAAATTTCTGATCACTAAAAAGAAAGAGCAGGACATAATTACAGGAGTAAGCAACAGGGTATGGTTTTTGACAACAAGGACAGTGAGGCCGACTGCCTGATTTCAAGTCCTGGGTCCACTATTTCCTAACAGTGAGATCACAGGCAAGTAGGTAACCTTGCTTTGTTTCTGTTTCCTCATCTGCAAAATGGAGATTATAATAACACCTAACTCATAGGGCTACTTACTGGATTAAATAAGTTAGAACATGTAAAGCCCTTAGCATAATGCCTGGCACATAGTAGACACACAGTAAATGCTCACTAATCATATTCTTAGTTTTTGTATTACTGTTTTTGTGAACAATTCCAAATTAAAGCAGGTTTACTTCTAATGCAGAAGGGATTAATTTGCGCTAAGACTGAGTAAGGAAAAAAAGAGAGAATGTACATATAAGTAACAGTAAGTATAAAAGGGAAGATAGCCATAGATGCATTAGAGGTATAAAATGGCATGCTAGAAAGAATTCTTAAGGTTTTGTTATGTCCTCTTGAGCAGTTTTTCTTTAATTCTTACTCCTGATAGACAATGTCCCTTTATACAACTTTTAAATACCAAATATGAAGATTACTCTTGTTTCATGTTTCTTGTTCTAAAAAATTTGGAGAATAGCTGATCACAATCTACTTTGTAATACCCCCAGCCAAAAAGCAAAAACAAAAACAAAAATGAAAACAAAAAACAAGACAAACAAAAACACCCCAGCCTTGTTAAGGCCTCACAAGTAATTTACTTCAATGATTTTCAAACTTAATCATCTATTTTTTTTTAATTTTTTTTTCAACGTTTATTTATTTTTGGGACAGAGAGAGACAGAGCATGAACAGGGGAGGGGCAGAGAGAGAGGGAGACACAGAATCGGAAACAGGCTCCAGGCTCTGAGCCATCAGCCCAGAGCCCGACGCGGGGCTCGAACTCACGGACCGCGAGATCGTGACCTGGCTGAAGTCGGACGCTTAACCGACTGCGCCACCCAGGCGCCCCCAAACTTAATCATTTAAAGGCAATTCATATTCCCCATAGTTCTTTGAATTCCTTTACCTTAGCAAGGAAGGCATCAAATTTTCCATGTTAACAGTATAACATAATACAATAACACCTTTAGCTCTTAAAAAAAAAGAGGAAAAAATCCTCCACTTGACTGCACCTTTCCCTGCTTATTTGTTCTTTATGAAAGTATAAAATGTATTTCATTTAACAAATATTTATTTAGTTTCTATTATGTGCCAAGCACTATATTAGAAACTAGAGTTCTTTTAAAAAGCCAAAAAAAAAAAAGCAAACAAAAGCAGTGAACAAGGCAAAGTATCTATTTTCATGAAGCCTGGAGTCTAGAGAGGGTTTGATATATCTCAATTATAAATATCTCAATTATAAATTAAGATCATTGTTACCCCAGAAGTAAATGGAGAGCTTGAGATTGAATAATGAAGGTGGGTAGAGGGGAGGATGAGAGCTACATTGAGGCAATTACAGGAGGCCTCGATGAGGAAGGGACATTTAAGCTACACCTGAAGTCAGAAAAGGTAACATCCATTCAAATTGCTGGGAGAGGAGCACATTTCATGTAGAAAGAACAGTGGGACAGAGGTCGTGGTGTGAAAAAGAGCGTGCACAAGTCAGTGGGTCTGTAACTGGACACCAGTGAGCAATGGGAAGCAATGGTGTGACAAGAGCTAGGAAGGCGAGTAAAGGTGAGATCACTCAGGGTTTTCAGATGGGGGGGACATTCTCCGGGCACTGCTAAAAGGTATATAAACAAGGAGCTAGGGTAAGCAGGATCTATGTTTCAAAATAATCCTGCTCGCTGTATGGAGAATTCATCGAAAGGGGATATCAGTAAAAATAAGAAGACGACCTAGCAGAATATTAGAGTAATCCAAGCAAGAGAGATTTCTAGCTTAGACTGGAGATTTGTCAATGGAGATGTAGATGACTAAATTATGAGAGATGCTTAGGAGGTAGAAATGACAAAACTTGATGAGACTGGAAAGACTGGAACCATGTATGACTCTTAACTTTCTGCTTCAAATCTGCCTGATAGCTCCATTTACTGAAAAGGAAAAACTAAAGAAGTACGAGGAGTTCCATCTTGATTGGGTCAATTTCATGATACCTTCATGACACCCCAATGGAGATGTTAAATAAGCATTTGATTATATTGATGTGAAGCTGTTATATAAATGAGCCAGAGATGGCCCCTAGGTCATTTATTTCTTCACTGCAGGCTGAGACCCATTAGCTCAAAAGCCCGCCAGAGACAAAATCAAATTTTTACACATCCATTTATTTTTAAAATAGGCCAAACAAGAAGATTTTTTTAGCCATTTAGAGCCTTCCTGTTTTTGCATTCCCCTGTAAAATTTCATCCCATATCTGCTAGCACTAGATGACCCCAGGGCCATGGAAATTCCAACCCTGGCTGCCCTTCTGAGCTCTCTGACCCAAAGACTGCCTGCCAGGCTGCTGAGCCACAGTGCCTACATACAGAAGCCCCCTCTCCAACCCCCCCCCCAGGACTTCCCCTGTCCTCCTCCCCTTCTGAGCAGCAGCCCTGGGCCAACATCAGTGGACAGACCCCTGGTGTGCGGGATTTTCCCAAAGAATTTACCAAAGCAGCTCCCAATAAAGTTTGTGAGTGCTACTGCCACCTTGTGGTCACATCTTTTTCCTTGATCAGCCACAAAATCCTTGAATACCCCCTAAAGCTCCAAGGAAAGATGTGTCCTCAGATGTCTCCCTGGATATAAGTAGCATAGAGATGGCACTAAAGGCCTCCGAGTGTCAATGATACTACCTCAAGAGGAGTATACAGAAATAAGGCAGGAGGGTTCAGGAGTAAATCTGAAGTTTCAGAATGTGAGATCTAGTAAAGAAGAAAAGCATGTAAATATAACCACTTGGTTAATTCCTACTCATACTCTATCACTCAGGCCAGACACTGGCTCCTTCAGGACAAAACCCTGTCTCTTCCCCCATCAAGCCAAGCTGCATTGGAATGACCACCCTCTTCTCTGCTCCTGTGGTTTTTCTATGTTTCTGCTATACCACATATTCTTGGTTAGTATTTGTCTCCACATGAGGCTGTCCTGAGGCAGAATGTGTGTTCATCTCTAAATTCCAAGGATCTACCACACCACCTGACAGTGCAAAATACAGACTTTCTGACTGAACAGATGAATGAATTGCACAATCTGACTGTATTAGAATGGGTATAGGAAAGGGTCGTGCTGCTAATGTGGTGGCAGAGGGCTTCAAGTGTTTGGGGAACACTAGGACATCTTTTGCTTCCATGATGATGGTATGACTGGCCACTTCTCTTTCTCATTACAAAGTCAGATTCCACTCTTACCCTAACATAAAGATATTGGGACACTGGGCTCCCCAGTGCTGTACCATAGGGACTATGTAGAGATAACAGAATAACATGAAAATATCGTAAGTAATTAGAAAGGCAGCTAATTTCACAAAGACTCAAGCTGGCATAATACAGAAGGCCTTTTTAAAGTATACCTTACAATGTCATTATATTAATTCGGTTTTGCTTCTTTGTATGAAATTTAAAATAAAGAAAAAGTGGCATGTTAGGTCAATTTGTATAAGATCTGAATATGAGTTACCTCTGAGATAATTCTCTTAATTGGAACCCCTTTTTTGTGATTTCACTGCCATAGCTTTTGATTCTCATTTAGAGGGGCAAGGCTGGTCTCAGAATGCAATGGCGGCATTAGATCATTGCTTCAGTATATTTTTTACTAAGATACATGTACATCATTCACAATTTGGCCTGTGAAAACAAAAACTAATACTAGAGAAGTCTGTGACACACATCACAGCCTTTAATGATGTAGAATAAGCACTCATAAATACTTCATAGCAAATAATAAATAAATGAAATGCATAAAAGATGATGGAGGCTAATTGAGTGAATGCATTTATCTTCACAAAAGGTCTCTAGACACATGGTGGTACAATATCCTCTACTTCCTGAACTATGAAACAGAATCAGTTGTAAGATATAGTTAATGAAAGCTTTTCAGTAAAAAAAATAAGTAATCAGCAACTTTTTGGATATTGATTATGAGAAGCACCCTGATTTCAAAATTTAAAAAGTGTGTCTTATAAATGATTTTTAAAAGCTCTATGTGTCACAACTAAAAACGGAACTGAATTAATTTCTATGTCAGGGAGAAATGGTTAGCAAATGTTTTAGACTTCAGTATTTAACTTATGTAATTATGATTATATATAACTGTAGATAATTACATGTTAACTTATATAAACATTATGTTTTATTGACTTATTGATATCTGTTGGTGAAAATACTGACTGAGGTTGGTACCTCCTTTGAGATATGAAATAAGTAAAACTTAGACCTAAGTATGAAAATCCCACACACTAATTTATTATTGTTGCTACCAGTAAACATATTTTCATGATGTTTTAGCATCTATAGGATGCTTTCACAATCATTTCTCGGTAATCTGATTTTATCCTTAGATCTATGCTATTAGAGGTTATGAAGATTAGAGGTTGTACATTTGAATACATACCATATATATATACTCGTTTTCTACGAGCTTTTTCCTGATAAAAGTTAGATACAAAAGAGTCCAAATACCTAATAAATCTTTCTGATTGCATAGGTGATGAAGTGTGTTTTTCTGGAAGGTGTTTTTCTGGTATTGTGATCGTCAAGGAACCTCAGGGACTGTTCTGAACACAGGCAAAAGCCAAAGTACAAAGACCATAGCCTTTACAACTTTGTAAGCTCAGGAAATCAGAATAATTATCTTAATGATGGACAGATCAATAATATATACTGAGGCCTCTTTCTACAATTCCCCAGTGCTTTACATTTGCATACCAATAATAATGCCCATATAACTTTTTTTGTTAATAGTTATTTATTTTTGAGAGACAGAGCATGAGAGGGGCGGGGGGAGGGCAGAATTAGAAGCAGGCTCCAGGCTCTGAGCTGTCAGCACAGAGCCTGATGCGAGGTTCAAACTCACGAACTGGGAGATCATGACCCGAGCTGAAGTCAGAAGCTTAACAGACTACGCCACCCAGGCACTCCTATAAATTTTTTCTAATATAATAAATGGTCCTGTCGAGGTGAGGAGTTTGTGTATTCTTTTTTTCTTTTTTCTTTTTCTTTTTTTTTTTTTTGGCCCTACCTACTTTGTTTAAATCTAAAAGTGCTCTCTAAACACAAACTATTATACTGCACATGCTGCTCCAAGCGTTTATTTATTGTTCATTATGGAAAAACATACCTCTATCTACAGCACTGTGTGCTCATTTATATAACATTCCTGTAACTGGAAACTACCAAAAGGAAAAACTGCCACTGTGTGGAAACATGAATGCTTTCTTGCAGGCTAGGGAATTGACAAGATCATGCCATTACTGAGCAACTAAACATGGTTCCAAGCACTTTACAGGGACTGACTCATTTAATCCTCTCAGCAACTTTAAGAATAGCTGTTATACTATCTCTGTTTTACAAATCAGGAGATTTAGGCTCAGAGAGATTAAATAATTTTCCATAATCATACAACTTGTAGATGTTAAACTGTCCAAGGCACACACACACAAAATATGTGTTTCCTGGAAGAAATATGAGTGCTACCACCATCATAATCATCAGCCTAAAAAGCCGTTCTATTGACATGGGAAATGGGGGTGTTATCAGAGGTTATATAGAGAAAGTAAGGGTGATCCATTATCACATGAGTTGGAAACATAAAGCTAAACTCTTTTTTTCTGACTAATATTTCTGAGCCTTTAATATTATGCTCCATAAGCCTCCAGGGAGGCATGTAGTTTTCCCAACACATCTGACCACCCATCTCACTACCACCCCCTTCCACATACAATTGCATTCCAGGAAATGCTATGCCAAATCCTAAGGCTATCCATCTCCCATGCCAGAGCTCCATGGACTACTTATTCAAATACATTTCCTTCAAGAAATCTTTCCTATCACCTTCATCCCTACAAGAAATATCTTTTTAAAATTTTTGAAATGTCTGATACAGTAGTAGTTAGTTAATATAAGTTCTAACGATACATATATATACATATATATATATATCAAAAACACATATATGTCTCTATGTATACAGATCAGAATACACACACACCAGAATTTACACATTTAAGTGAACTATCTTTTAAGTGCCAACCTTGGGGAGCCATGCATCACCCAAATAATTTTTTAAATTCCTTTGGGGAGCTGGCTTTAAAAATACATCTTGGGGCACCCATGTGGCTCAGTTGGTTGGGTGTCCAACTTCGGCTCAGGTCTTGATCTCACAGCTCATGGGTTCCAGCCCCGCATTAAGCTCTGTGCTGAAGCAGAGCCTGGAGACTGCTTCTAATTCTGTCTCTCTCTCTCTCTCTCTCTCTCTCTCTCTGCCCCTCCCCAGCTCACACTCTGTCTCTCTCTCTCAAAAATAAATATTAAAAAAAAGTTTTTAGATAAAGATAAAAAATATAAATAAATAAATAAATAAATAAATTGAAAACCACATCTTAAGTATCCTCATGATTGTCCTCATCCTTTCAGAATTGAAGAATTTCTGCAAAGAATTAAAACTATTTGTAGCAAAATGAAATTGAGAATGTCAAGTAATGAAATTGATTTTCTTACAGGACTTACAAATTGGTTCTGAGAACGATGCCAAAGTGGATTAGAACATAGATGTTAGAATATGATGGTACGGTTTAAACACACATAGGCTGATGACACGCCTGCTCTGGGGAAGCAAATGCAACTTGTTACATTATGTGAGAGGTTATATATTTCAGTGCCTCCAAACAAATTAACTATATGAAATCCTTAAGTATATAAGACAATAGTTAACAAAGGAATGTGAAAATGAGAAAGTGTATGTCCCTCCTTGCAGATAAAAATAAAAACTAAAAAAATTCACTGCAAAAAACAAAATCTTCTGTTATTGAAGTAAGGGATGGGTAAAGGGAATATCTTCTGTATGAGTCTTTTTTTTTTTTTAATCTCTTAAGGCATCCTTTGAGTTATATCTGCTAAACCCTAGGACTTCCCAGACATAATAATAGAAAAGTGACTAGGCTTGACTTCAAACAGACCTGATTTTGAATCAGATAGACCATGTATAGATAAGTTACTTAATCTCTCCAAGTCTCACATTTCTCATCCAGCAAGTTATTAAACCGAGAGGATTAAATGTAACAATGTAAAGATGCACTTAAACTAATGACTGTTACAGCCTCAAATAAATGGCAATAATTTATTTAATAATTGGAATTTAAACACCTTAATATTTAAACATGTGGAAACACTGCTTTGCCTTGATCTCTATCTTTGCATAGAATTTTTAGTATTCTTTCTACCAGCCCTTTAACCAATATTTACTAAACATATCCTAAGCACAGAGCATTGTGCCAGAGACTAGGGATACAAAGGTGAAATGAATAAGTTGTGTTCTTAAAATCTTAGGGTTGATTGGAGGGGGTCCTAAGTGGCTTAGTCGGTTAAGCATCCGACTTTGGCTCAGGTCATGATATCACCATTCGTGAGTTTGAGCCCCGCTTCAGGCTCTTTGCTGACAGCTCAGAGCCTGGAGCCTGCTTCGGATTCTGTGTTTCCCTCTCTCTCTGCCCCTTCCCCACTCGTGCTGTGTCTCTCTCTTTCTCTGTCTCTCTCCCTCTCTCTCTCTCTCAAAAATAAATAAGCATTAAAAAAACAAACAAACTTAGGGTTAATTAAAAAAGTGAAGCTCATACCATGTTGCAATACCCGTGAGAAGAAATAGTCCAAGAAAGATACACATGAAGAGCTGGAAGAATCTTACAGAGAAAGAGGTGGAGTCTGACAGAGACAAGAAAGACTAAAGTTCTATAGGAAGATGAAAGAAGATTTGGAGGGTCTCAAGCTGAAATGTATAGAAAGAGAGGTTTTATGTAATTACAACATTTATAAGCCTAAGAGTGGAGACCCAAAGGTAGAGTATTTTCAGGGAAGTGCAATTTGTTCCGTTGATTTACAGTTTCAAGTGCTTAAAAGTAGACTCCAGACACATTTGTGAGGCCTGAAATGCTGAGTGAATGGAAGTGGACTTTGTGATAGCATTTATAAGCCACTGCTAGCTTTTGAACATGAGACTGGTCTAAGTGCCATATTTTAGGAAGCCTAATCTAGAACCATCTGATAGTGTGTGTTGAAGAAGAAAAGATTAGAAGCCAAAAGACCACCAGGAAAGATGTTGAAGTAGCCCCCAGGAAAATGGAGGTGCGTAGCTGTCAATAGAAAGAAGGGCATGTTGGTGATTGAAAGCTGGAAGGCTGAAGGACTTATTTGGAAGCTGGGTTTCTTTATCAAGCACAAGATTCTAACAGGTTTTATGCTTTTGGGGGTGGTTTGGGCATGCTTTTGGAGATAAGGTTAGCAGCTTTTGTATCATCACCTGAAGGAGTTGTAAAGAGGAGCTTGTTTCGGAGAGTGGCAACAAAGATGGAAAGACAAGAATGAGTATGAGAGAAAGACTTGACAACACCAAGTCTCGTGTTCAAATCACACATTCATATGTGTTCTGTCTTTGCCATCTGTCTGTAGGATCTGCTACTTGGTAATGTCCACAGCTTCTGTATCGACTTACCTGATCCCTTGTATGTCTGTTAAAGAAAAGTTTTCTTATCATTTCTCTTCCATGACATTAAGGGTGACTGGATCCAGTTCAGCCAGCAAAGACAAAAATGTATTCTTTGCTTTTTACAGGGCAGCTGGTCACTCTCAGCATAAGAGAGTTAAAGTCATCTGGGGGTAGCAGCTAGCTATTATGTTGACACTAACATTCTTCAAGCCAGATAGTTATGAATAATAAAAAGGGGGTCCTTAGAGAAGGATAAAATTCCAGAATGACTTACTAAGCTCCCCATAGTCTTCTGTTCCATCCAAAGGAGTAGGACATTGTGATACTAGTGCAATGTTTTCACATGTTCGGTTGGCTCCTAAGTGTTGGGTTAAACATTGTAAAATGAAATTTTAGACAAGCCACTGGAGTCCCTTAGAATAAATATATAAAATGACTGAAAGATTACTTTCCTATGGTTCTTCTATAGAACTTTATATATCTATTTGAACTTTCAGTGGAAACATTTACACTTACACTGAACTAGAGTGATATTGTATAGTGAACACTATGTAGCCTTCACTCTGCTTCAATAATTATCAATATTTTTTGCCAGTTGGTGCCAACTCTTTCATTATCTCTAGTACTTTTTTATTACAATATTTTATTTTATTTAAGTTTATTAATTTATTTTGAGAGAGACAGCATATGCTCAAGCAGGGGAGGAGCAGAGAGAGAGGGAGAGAGAGGATCCCAAGCAGGCTCTGCATTGTCAGCATGGAGCCCAAACACAGGGCTCAATCTCGCGGACCATGAGATCATGACCTGAGCCTAAACCAAGAGTCAGACACTTAACCAACTGAATCACCCAGGTGCCCCACATTTCTATCTTTAAAAATCTATTTCTGACATAATGAACACACTTCTGTCATATCATGTCTCCTTAATATCATCCAGTACCTATTCTATATGCACATTTCTCCAATTATGTCAAAGATGTTCCTTTGTAGTTAGTTTGGTCAAAT